GGCATCAGGCACTGCCTGTGCCAGCATTTCCCAAGGCTTCTCGGAGTGCATCATGGGGAGAAGGTAGAGAACAATCGGGAAGAAAGCCTTTGGGACCGGGAAGAATGGGAGGGGTAGAGGAGAAAGGCTATTTTAAGATTTAGTTCTCTTTCTTATTATCTTGCTCCTTTTTTGGCTTTTTTAACAAATTAAACGGGTTTTTTGTGTACTCCTGAGTTGTTTGTTTCTTGTCTGTCACCGTAAGTGGTGAGTGAACCCTCTCTCTCCTTGCCTAAGCTCTTGAGGTGTTTTTTAATTTTGTTGTTCCTCCAGTTCTTCTCCCCATCCCACTGGTGGGGAGGAGGGAGTGAGAGGCTGCATGGTAGCTTTAGACCACGACAGTGGCATAGAGCTTCTTCTCCACAGTACAGCCTAGCTCAGGATGACCAGCCTCTCTGGGATGTGGCTGAAGGCTGAGTTGAAATGGGAACTGGTCTGTTTTGGGCTGTCATATACACTTGTTTCGAACCTGTGTCTTCTTGGTATGAGAAAACAACTGAGCACACAGCCCAGCACGTGCTGTGGTTGACTGTTGGATGTGACTCCTTTGTTGAAGCTCACATGAAATGTGTGAGATGAGGTGTCTGGTTTTTGGTTTTTTTTACAGGCTCTGGGGCACTAGTGGCAGCGAACAGGTCCTGGAATCTTCCTCACCACCTGGGCTGGGGCTCTGCATCTTCAGGGACATGCCTGCTGCTCCTGCTGGTCCCACTGCATGGCTAGACGGGTTTGGAGTGGCTGGAGTAAGAAGGTGATGATGTCCCAGCTTCATGCCAGGAAATATTTTTGAGTTATTTGCCTTTAACCCTCAGCCCTCTCCGGTGCCATCCGCTTTCCTGGTGCCATGTTCCCATCCCCAGGAGCATGGGCAAGGGACGGATGTGGAGCTGGCAGCCTTGGGACTGAGTGCACCCTCAGCAAGTTTGCTGACAACCCCAAGCTGTGTGGTGCGGTCGACAGGCTGGAGGGAAGGGATGCCATCCAGAGGGACATTAACAACCTTGAGAGGTGGGCCCGTGCAAACCTCATGAAATTTAACAAGGACAAGTGCACAGTAGTTCTGCACATGGGTAAAGGGAATCCCAAGCACAAATACAGGCTGGGTGGAGAAT